TAACTATATTAAAATTATAATATATTAATAATATTTTTATTATATATTAAAAATATATTTAAAATGCTATACATATAGGGATTAATCATTTAATCATTTAATTTGGTTGGCATTAGAATAATTCCAGCCCATGACCAACATAATTCGGTCTGGAGCTATGGAGCAATTTTTAAATAGATCCAATCCCTATATATATATAATAAATAATATTATTAAAATATAAATAATATACATTATTAAGCAAAAGAATGGCATTGAAATTACAAAAAAAAATCGATATTAATAAGATGCAAGAAAATAAATCAAAAGAATTAAAACTGAAATGAAAAACAAACCTTAATTAGAATAAATGTAATAAAACACCAAAGACAATAAATATAAAAAGGTTCATAAATAATAAATGTATATGTTTACCTATTTATTAAAGCTGCAAAGCTTTAATAAGATTATTTAGAAGTCAAGATTGATTGGTAACTGTTGGTTGTGAGAAATGATATTGACTATTAAGATAATGCTAAGGATAAGAATGAATATAAAACATCCATTACTTATCAAGCAACTATAAATATGAATCATATTAGTGATACATGAGTGACGATTAGTGAAAACCTGTAAATCAATCCACCATACCGGACTTGACCCTAGAAAATCTTAGCATTAGCATAATAATACATTAATTAATAAATATAGTACTAAAATTATATACTACATAAGATCGGATTTTTCAGGTGCCAAGTCCAGTATGATGAATCGATTTACAAGTTTTTACTGACTGTATATTTGAGATCACAATCAATACAAAATCATCTTTGAAAAAAGATAAACATCCAATATTCATTATCAGGAATTAGTAGAAATAGTGTATGCTAATAAAACAAAGAATTTTAAATATTAGTGTTATATCGAAATTAGTATAACATGAAACATTTATCTATTATAACAGATCAGCTAAGGCAGGTCATAATATAATAATTAGCACTTTCTGGTATTGCTATTGAAAGAGAAACATTGTTGGAAAAGATGGATATAAACATTCATTAATTAGCAAAGATAGATCATGCTAATGAAACATACGATCCTGGTAATTGTTATTACAATAACATTGAAGTCAAAAATCTACCAATATGAGTTATGTTAGAGAAATGTATGATCATATATGATTTTGAAACTTGTTATGAAAATAGAGGTATTCAGTAAAGTAGTACTGTATACCAGTACAGGTTTGGACGGACATATGAAAATTATACTAAATTTTAATGATACATATTGTAAATATATGCTTGCAAAATTCAATTTTTATAAACAATCATTTTTAATAGTTAGGATTAAGATAAGTACAGTATTGTCCTAGTGTTGTTCTTTGCATGTTTGAGATTAGTAGTTAAAGTAACATAGTTGATGAATTTTTTTTTTACAAACTGTACATACTATCTTGATTTTTACTTTAATTTGTGTTTCCATACCATACTATTTTACTATATACTTCGAAAATAGTAAATAAATTAAAAAGAATAAAGTCACTGAAATAGAAATTACTGATGGAATACATACTCTTGGATGTTGTTATTAGAATAGAACTGGTATTGTTACTGTAAAAAGTGAATTCAGAATAAAGAATAGTGATTTCAAAAAATAAAACACAATAAGCACAAATAAATATTAATAAAAAAATCAATAAGCGTGAAAATGTAAATTCCAAAGTTAGAATAAAAATGGTAATTTCAAAAAATAAAACACATGATAAAATTAATAAGTGCAAAAATACGAAGTTAGAATAATATCTATTTTACTATTTTAGTATTTATAGATCACAGAGACTGACCAATCACTATTTAGTACATGATTTACTATTAATAAGGCAATTTTGACAAAGTTAAAATTTATCAAAATTCGCTAATAATAAAACTTTATTAAAAATATTGCTAATTGCAAATTTTATTTTACTATCTTATAATTCTTGTTTTTAAGAAAACCTTAGTAAAGAAAAAAGCATAAATAACTTATTATTGTGTAACTTTTACTAGCTCTAGGGCTAAATAGGTTCAATTCTTGAAAGGTAAAGTGGTAGATTGACAGATTGACAGTAGAGTTCCAATCCATTGATTATTTATTCAGATAATTATCAGATATTCGGTTAAATTCAATAAGAATTAAAGGTTTTTTACACCATTCGATTCGTCTTGATGAGACAAATCGAATGGTATAAGAAGCATTAATTTTTAATTACCTACTCCCACCGAAATACCCCTTCACCTTATTAAAAAAAATTGGTTTTTATTATGTATATACAATAGTAATATATATAAAATAATTGAACCTAACTTAAAAGCTAAAAAATATATATATACATATAATTTCTGCACTATATATTTTAATTATACTGCATTATAATAAAATTTATTTAAAATATAACTTCGATTGGTTTCATCATATTTTATTGTACATGTATTTATACAATTAGGTACAAAATGTATACAAAGAACATGATCAATAAAATTAATTGTAAAAATTTTGGTCCAATGTGACTCTTCAGGCTTTTGGATATAGTAAATCGGGCATCCTAATATATTGTCAAGATTGTTTGTTGCTTGAAACCAATTAAATAAAAAAAATGTGTAGTATTGACCATTATTTGCTTAATGCCGAAAAATAAACTCAATTTTAGCATATGCAATGCCTTTAGTCTCTTCAAGTAGTTCCACGAAATCACTGACTTTAAGCTTCACCCGAACTGGATCTTGGTTATCTTCAAGGACAGTATATATGATCAAATTATAAAATTCTAATTTTTTGTTTATTAGTGCAGCCTTAAAATTTAAGTAATCATTATATGCTTTATATAAATCTTAGAAGAATGGATGCTTAGTGTCTAAACTCTTTGATAGACCTACACTTTCAACTTTACTATTATTCTATTTACTACTAAACGAAATATCAATGAAGTTTTTATCATAGCATACTACAGTATTATCTATAAAAAATAATTAATTAACAAATATTCAAATACAATCAAATCTCATCAACTTGATATAATCACAATTTAATAAAAAAAATTCTATTTTATTTTACCAAATCATTATAAACATAAGAAAAATTAATATCTGTATAGACACTATCATATTAGTCACATTGAATTTTGATTACCAACTCGATGATTATATTAAGATCTGTTATTTATAATTTTGTTACTAATAAATTCAAATGCTTATCATCACTTCCATTTTCAATAATTTGATTGTTTATATAAACAGACAGATTTTCTGTAACATACCAACCTGACAATATTGTATAAAGACTTGGATCTTTTGCAAGATTATTTATTACATTTGTTCTTGTATTAAATCAAGGATCTACCCAACCATCAGCAAGATGCCATAATGCTTATATCATATTGTACTGCTGGGTAAGGTCAAGTTCAATTGCCTTACAGTTCATATGAGGTATCATATTTTTAAACATTCAGAGAACCATTTCTTTTATGGCAACAGATGTGTTTACTAGTGTGGCAAAATTTTGGTCATTCTGTAAAAGATGTACATTCACATGCAAATTTGGTAGATTTGGTAAAGTTATTTGGAAACAGCTAATATCGATATACAATAAAAATTAATATATATATTACATAATATATAAGTTATATTAATTAAAAATGTGTAAGTCTGATCAAACACATATAATATTTGTTAATACCTGAATAATTAGTAGTAGAATTCAAAAATGAATTCTATCACCAATGTACTCATAGAAAGACTTTCATATGATTGGCTGTTTAAATCAATTTAATTTTACATTATTTATACAGTTTAAAGTACTTTTTTTAAAAAAATAAAACTACAAAGAATAAGTAAAAAAGAAGTATATAGAAAGGTTTATTAGGGTTGTAGGACTCAACTATTGAAAATAATTAAAAAGATTTATTAGGGTTGTAGGACTTAACTATTAAAAATAATTAAAATTCCATTTTGTTTTAGAGGAATTAGCATAACAATGACTGCTTAAAAATAGATTAAAACAAAATAGGATTTTGATTATTTTTAATTATAAAGTCCTATAATTCTAATAAAACTTTCTATATACTTGTTTTTGACTTATTCTTTGTGGTTTTATTTTTTTTAAAAAAGTACTTTAAACTGCATAAATAATGTAAAATTAAATTGATTTAAACAGCCAATCATATGAAGTCTTCCTATAACCAACTAAGTATATGCATCTTCAGATGTAAAATACTCTGAAATTAACATTCTTTCTGAACGTATTCAAATTTAGAGTATTTAAATCGATTAACATTAAACTTTGATTACTTACTTCTAACAAGATTTTGCATTCTTTTTCAAGTAATTCTTGCAATTCTTGATAACTATTTGTTGTCATAGAAAGTGAAAATGCAAGTTTTAATACTTTGGCTTCAATTGCCCAGCAAGTGCATAATTTTGATACACTAGATAT